TTCTTTCTTTTGTTATTAAGTTCCCAATGATCTCATAAAACGCTAATTGCATACCCTGCTTCATGCAAGATAGTAACTGACTCACTTAACTGATTTAGTACTGGTATCTTTAAATTCAAAGCTAAAAGTCTATTTTAAAAAGTGGAAATGTGCCATTTTTCAGGTTCTTTTCATTCCCCCTTCTCAGGCAAAAAATAGTCCAGGTAAACCATCGGACAATTTCTAGTTATCGTATGGGGGGTAAATGAGCCCCCCCCCCCAAATCTGGGTGATGGATACCAACACATAATGTTATAGTCATATTATCCCTTATTAATCGAAACGTTTAAGTTTGTTTGAAGAATTTTCGCACAAAGCCACTTTTAATTTTGAAGTGATAGACTAGAACCGGACAGCAGACCCATCGCCAACTCTTGACCAACTAATAGTGGGAGTAGCCGTCACATTATAACGCCTCCATGGTTAAAATTGCAAGCATGTTCGGAGCCAGTTTTCGATCCCTCGATCAGAATCACGCAACCAGTATACTATTAATCGCTGGCTGACTGTCGCATTTCGAATCACTTTTTTACATCCGATTCAATTACGAACTGTTCCTCCATTCAACAAATAAACTTGTTTGCAAAAAAAAAAAAGAAAAGAAGTGACAGCTGCGAGATGTGTGTGTGTGGGGGGTGGGGGGGGGGTATTCTTGACAGATTCTACTTTTCGTTTAGTTGAAACAATTTGCCACCACTTATATAAAAAAGGCGAAAACTTGTCGTCCGGTTCTGATTTATGACTGAGTAATCATGTTAAAATTCTAGCTGGTCTTGATAACTAAAGCTGAGTAATATACGTAAGAGACTTTATTAATAATGGTGACTAAACTTCTAAGAAATCAATCCCTAAAAATATAAAGTACAGCACAGAAAAAATAATAAAAGATATAATAGTATTTATTTTGAAGATAAAAAGGGTTATGTAACAGTTTAATGTATTTTAAGGTACTTCTGAAGGCTAGTAAGCATATGTAAATTTAAAATAAGAACAAAAAAAAATATTAATCCCTCCGATGGCTATCTACGCTAGCCGTCCCTAATTTAGCAGTGTTAGACTAGAGGGAAGGCAGCTAATCATCACTACCCACCGCCAACTCTTGGGCTACTCTTTTACCAACGAATAATGGGATTGACCGTCAAGTTATAACGCCCCCACGGCTGAAAGGGGGGAGCATGTTTGGTGTGACAGGGATTCCGAACCAGCGACCCTCAGATTACGAGTCGAGTGCCCTACCCACCTGGCCATGCTGGGCCAGGGTGGAATTGTACCGTGTACCGAACCAAAAATAGGTCTAAAGTGAAGATTTAATGCTAGATATATAGTTTATTCCTATATTATTTTAAATTTGTTTCCCTATTTATACTTACGAATGGATCCCAGTTCTAGTGTCCTTTTTAAATAAAAACAACTATCTTAGCTAGAGTAAAGGACGAGACGATTACCATGCAAACATGGTAAGGTTACTTGAAAGCAAAATTGAAGCAGGCACTTTGGTCACGTGGTTTGTAGCTGTTAAACTGACGAGAGTCTGTAATGTGAACTGTTACCAAGGCAACAAACTGATAAATCTACCGTATATCAATGAACTTACAAAATATCATATACTGTATACCAAACACTGCACAGTAAAGTAAAATAAAACCACAAGGACTTCAAATATATTAGTTAGAAAGTATCAAAAAGGGCTTGATATTTTTTGATGGTTCATAATTTGTTTTCCAAATTTAGTTATTTATATTCATGCGTCTTTAAAGGCCTTTGGGTGGTGATTGGAAATTAATTTTTTTAACGTTTGAAAATGTTACTCTTAAGTGCAATTATTTGATTTTCATTAAATATGCTAATACGTATGCTTATAATGATACTTTTATAGTGTAGTGTTAAATTTCGCATGGGCTACCTGCACTAGTCATCCTCTAATTTTGAAGAGACAAACTAGAGAGAATACAGCTAGTGAACACCATTTGTGAGTCATTCTAAACTACATAGTGGGATCTGACTGTCACTCTTCTAACACACCCTGAGCAGTGATGGGGCACGAACCATGAAATCTAAGATACACAGTCAAGCACTCTAACCATTTAACTGTGCTCAATCTTTAGAGGATGAAGTAAATAACTGTTTATCTATTGGTATATTTTCCTTAAGGACCCCATCTATATATAAATATAAGTAGCTGGTGATCAGAAACTTTGAGTCAAGAAATATTATCTATAATTTATGCTTATAATTTATTATTATTAAATTATTTTAATAATTATATAATTATTAATTTATTATTATGCTTATAATTTATATAAATAAATTACCATCATATATTTTGACGCAGTTGTAAATTTAGCAACACACGGCCAGGCGATGTAAAATGGTGGACAAAATGTCTGGTAATTCTGTATTTTAAGAGATGTTATGTCAGAGATTGTACCTCACACTAGCTCCCTATTAATTTAAATTCTGTTTGCAAATGTAAGCATGCCCATTAGGATCTCACAGTGGTAGACCCACTTGATTTTTTCTTTTGGTCTCTTGAAATCGTACTGGTTACAGGACAGTTGTACAAACAGCAAATTTTGGGTAAAATTTTTTTAAATTTCTTTACAAACAATCCAAAACAAAATTTAAACTTACTTCAGAGGTAAACAGAAATTCTATAAACACAATTTCACCTCAAATATTCTAAGTTGAAAGATCATTCCTGTTCTTACATCATTTATACAACAAAAATGAATTTTGTAATCAGTTTTTAAAAGGAATTTATTCTGGTTTATAATTCAAATAATGTTTTTGTCTTTCTGATAACTAATATATTATCAAAACTGAAATATAAATAAAAAAAAACACTTATGTATTTTCTATGTATAACCTGTAACTTCCTAGTTCCTTCTTATGAAAATATTTGAAAAAATACAACCATTGAAAGAGATTCAAATAAATGAACTTGTTTGAGATAAAAGTCCACCATTACAAAAATCAAGATTACAATCAATAGTAATATACATCTAAATGAAAAAGAAATATAAAATTTATCACAATATTTCTATTTCTGCAGCATTAATGTATACTGTGATGGTATTAAAGTCAAACTTTAGTATGTTTTACATACCTTCATCTGCAACGCACAGAGAGGTCATGAAGAATCTTGACATTAGTATTAAAGTCCAACTTAAGTACATTTTACATACCTTCATCTGTAACGCACAGAGAGGTCATGAAGAATCTTGACATTAATATTAAAAGGCTAAATAACCAGACATAGTACAATAAGTAAGATATACATTTTTATATTAACAACAGAATTACAAAGGTGTTGGTTTTGTTAACACTTATATCTCGATTAAAACATTAAATTAATTTTTGAATTAAAAGTGTCATTAAAGAAAAAGATTCTTCTATATGTACATGTAGAAAAAAAATCCAACATAATTATAAAGAATTTTGTTTTAATATTTATTTTTGGTGATGACCTGCTGAATCACACATCCTTTCCACCCCCCCCCCCACGGAACTTCACTTCCACACACTAAAACACAGGAAATGCAGCATGACTCATCACACTGCTTCTGATAGATGTAACTTACATGTTATCTTTTTCTTCAGGTTCAGTTCAATGTCTGTTAACACTTATGTATACTAGCAACCTTATCATGATGCGTGCTTTCTTAAGAATTAAGGACAAGTTACAATACTTGTTTTCAGATAAAATGAAACCAGGTGTGGATGTTTAGTAAAATGTCTATGTGCTACAGATTTTATTATGTATGTAATTGTTTCAAGACTTTAAACAAAGTCATACTTTGAGTGAAGTCATTGGATTTTTTAAAGAATAATTAATTACTAATAGAAAAGTGGTGGTTTTTTTTATTACTTCACAAATTCTTTAAGTTTTAAATAATCTAACATCAAAAATTTTTTTAGGATAAGACTAACCATAAAATGATTTTATTTGTATTTCACTTGAAACAAGAAAGGTTCATTTCCCACTACTGCTAGGCCAAACTTAATGTTAAAAAATGCATGTTTTGAAACCAAATATGTGGCCAGAGAAAACCAATGCTGTCCTGTTGCCATTCAAGACATTCTTTAAATATCGTGATTTTGAAACATAGCTGATGATTAAAGGAAATATTTATATTTTATTCACTTAACTTTATCTGTTTTATTATTTTCTGAAATCAATAATCACCTTATTTCCTGTGATACAAAAGAACGAAACACATTTTTATGAGACATTTACCATCAAGCGATCAGATAAGTGATGAAGATTAAAAATAACTTACTCCTGATGCACAAGATAAAAAAAATAAATGTATGTTGTGCAACAAATGTACCGAGGAAGTAATTTAATGTATCTGCTAGAAGAGAGAGAGAGAGAGATACAATACGTACGAAAATTAACAAAGATTCTCGACCCAAGTAAGCTTGGGTTGGCTGATGTATCTTCAAAGAGATAAATAATCAAGATTACTTTGATTAGATTTAGTCCTGTCCAGGTAACAATGTTTCAAAATAAACAGGAGAAAAAAAAAGCCAAACATCAATATTTTTGTTGAAGAAAAGAAAGCTGGAAGAAGAGTTAAGATACCTTTGGGACCTCTTTAAACACCCCACATCATAGGGATAAAAGTTCTTATATATATATATTCATAAAATTAAGACTCCTATACATATTCAATAATACATGGCTAAATGCATTTTTTGATAAATATGTTCTCAATATGCAAGTTTTGTTGTGTATATAAAAGCAAAAAACAACATACATAACAAAAGTTACAAGTATTAGATTAGTGGAGCATAAAGTGAAATCCATTTATCAATTTTATACAAATTCAATAACTTAAACAATTTATTCATGCCCAAATATCCAGCTTGCTCAACAAGTTAACTTTCATCATATCAGTATCCCCTTCTCCAACTATTAAGTTTATTTCAAACACCTGAATAAAAATTGAAAAACTCACTTCTGTGGTACTAGTGGCTGTTGAACTGCTTGGTGGAGCAGGCGACTGGCTGTCTGGACTTGGGTCACAACTTCCACCGTTGGTTGCAGATGACAAAAAATGGATCTGAGGACGATTATTGCGATGGGTACTACTGATATACTGTTGCACTTGTCTTTTCTGGCTCTGTATTACGTGGTACTTGGTTGGGTTTTCTAAACGAGTCTGGACCTGAAAGGGAGTGCATCACTAGTAGGAATTTTTTCCTTTGATAATTATAACGTATAGATAATTATGAATTAAATCTGTTTTACTAAGTAAGGGTGAAAAAAAGTCTAAAAAGTCCCAGTGATTTTAAAATATCCTAAAATTTAATCAATTATGATGTATACACAAAAATCAGACTTCAAGAAGCATAGACAGAACATAGATTTAATTAACTTATTTATCATGCCTGAAGAAGAAGTTTATATATAAATATGAGATATATCTAAATGGAATGACTTTTTATTATTACTACTTCAGGATCTGTAGGCACAGGTTTTACAACTTCACAAGCATCTGTGTTAACTTCAAACCGTACCAACCACTTTTGAAACACAACATTAAAATTCACAAAATCTAATCTAACCTAACCAAATCTAATGCTCAACTCTTTTTTAACTATGGGTCAGGTACTACATGCACTGTAAATTGTTTTTTTTAATTCATTAGTTGTTGTAATACACAAAGTTTCCAACTTGATCTTTGACCTGATCACTTTTCTTTTTAAAGAACAAATTGACAGAACTTATTAAAGGATTACCAATATATCATGTTTCATCAGATAACACTAAAGTTGATGAATAATATCATAATAAACATCCGTGAATTTTTACTTTTGATCGGATTTCACTTTTGAAGCTTCATAATTTCATTAAATGCATAACCTGATAGGGTTGAACTAATGAATAACTTACAAATCTGTTTAAAAAAACATATTTTAGTGACAAAGAAAAGTTTCATGTCTATCCAATGTACCAATATTCAGTATAATGACTTATTAATTCACTGGGAAAATGTGCTTCACATTCTTGTAGTGATCATATAGACATAACACTTAAGTAAGCACATAAAACTTTTATATAACACTTAAGTAAGCACATAACTTTTACATAACACATAAGCAAGCACGTAAAACTTTTACATAACACTTAAGCAAGCACGTAATACTTTTACATAACACTTACGTGAGCATGTAAAACTTTTACATAGCACTTAAGTGAGCATGTAAAACTTTTACATAACACTTAAGTAAGCACATAAAACTTTTACATAACACTTAAGTAAGCACATAAAACTTTTACATAACACATAAGCAAGTATGTAAAACTTTTACATAACACTTAAGTGAGCACGTAAAACTTTTACATAACACTTAAGTGAGCACGTAAAACTTTTACAAGACCATTCTTTTCTCTACACGTCACTGAAATGTTAAAAATCCAGTTTCATTTTGTATTGTGAATCCAATGTTTTAGCACAATCATACTGAAGTATACGAGGTTATCTGGAGAATCAACAGGATACAACCTCTGATTTCTCTATGGTGTATTCCGAGGACAATATGATGAGAGAACACAAGTCCGAGATTTGGAAAAAGGCAGGTCAGGCTCCAGTTACAACAGTTGTATCTCGGTTAACAGAGTGGTTACTTGTAGACTGAGTCGCCACTGGTAATAGTTGAGGTTGGCACCTTACAAAAGGTTAAGAGGGGAAATGATGATTTCTCAAAAAATAAAAACTGGGTTTTTGTTTTACTTTTTTTCTTGTAGGTGGATATGCAGGGCCAGCTTTAAAAGTCCAAATGGCCCCTTTTTGTCCACAAGTTGTATTATGTTCAATTAAGTTTGTAAGTGATAACATACTCACATCCCTTGATAACAGGTGGTTGTAAAAAGAACACATGTGTTACATTTGTACTATAAATACTACAAGTATAAAAAGTTCATATAAGCACTACGATAAATGCACCTTGTCACTACCTGCTTGCCATATATCAGAAGGACAATAATTACTGTTGTAATGCAAAAGAGTCATTTTGAACACCACAAGAAAAAATAAGACTAGACACGAAATGACTGGGAATTGCAACTTCAAAGATATAGCTTTACCAGATTCCCAGTTTGCCCCTGAAGAAAAAAGGTCCACCTTTTGAAAGCATTCGGCTTACAGGGTTTTTATCATTTTCAGCTTTACTAGCAATATACATATATTTTTTAAAAGATTTGATCTTAAAAATTGCACTAGAATGTTTTAGAGATAGAGCTGGTCAAAGTGGCTGATAGTCCTAGCAGCAAGTTTAGTGGGAATGAAAATCAAACCCGAGACCCTTGAATCACAATATAAAAAAAAAAACTGTAAAAAGTGGAAACACTAATTTTGGCTAGTTAATTATTATCTATGACAATAAATTAATCATAATTCAATTAATCATTGCCAAGATGTTTGATTATCCATGATGAATACAGTGGATTTAGTTCATTGTGTAGCTTTGTATTTAACAAGAACTAACTAAGTGCCTGTATTTAATATTCAGTATGAATGAACAGGAAAATAGTAAATTTTTTTCTGAATAAAATTAGTTATATATTTCTTCACATGTGTTTAGGCTCGGTGGCAACATAATGCCAATTAATCTCCCCCCCCCCCCAATTCTCTGTAGCTTTTTTGTTTAAGTTAAACCTACTAAGATTATCTGCTGCTGCCTGTAATTTTGAACTCTTAACCATAATGAAGGCATCTGGCTGGCAGCACCCACCACCAACTCTTGGGCTACTCTTTTAACAGTGAATAGTGGGATTAAATGTCACATTATAATGCTCCCCATGTACATATAGACAATAAAATTAGGGTTCAAAAAAAGTACAGCTTAAATATGTATGATCAAGTTTATAGGCCAAAAAAAAAAAGTGTTTAATGAGCATACTATAAAGGTGGTAATATAAGAAATGTCTTTAAATGATATCTTCCAAACTTACCTGGAGCACTTGAGAGGGCACAGAGACTCCCACTGCAGTGGTATATACGGGTACTTCAATCGCAGCTGTTGAAAGAGAAGAAGCAGTCTCTGTCTTCTGTTGAGATAATGCTTCTTTTTGTTTCAACTGCTGCATCTGTTCTCGCATTAATTGCTGTTTGAGGTGGGTACGACTCATGACAGTGACAGTCTTCAGGTCTGGAGATCTACAGAAATTCATATAAGTAATTTTAAAGCAGAACAGTTTTATCTTTATCAGTGCGAGTGAGAGTCAAGTGTGAATAAAATCAATATCTCCATAAAGTAATACAGGTTTCACGTAATATAATACGTAATAAACGTAAATAGCGAAGCAAAAACTGAATAGCCAGCGAATTATTCTTTTTCAAGAAATAATCAAGCACTGTGCTATACACATCAAACTGTTGATAAACAACTGTACGAGGACAAACCATCTGTGACAGTCATTTTTGTTCCTAGCTGGGTTCCAAGATTCGTTCCAGTTCAGGATTTGCAGAATTTTAAATGACAAAGTTATAAATAAAACAGGTTAAAGATATAGCCGGTACTCAATGAAAAATGTTGCATAAAACAGTTATGTGCTCACATATTTTCATACATCAATTTATGTACAGTACTATATGTGTTCTTAAAGGATACATGGTGTTGTGACAGTATAAGTTTCTAACAATTGATACAAATATATATATAAATGAACAAGTTTTGTAATTATTTTTTGCTGGCGTATTTATTTTTATCAATTACTATACATTTAATGTAAGAAATAAATCTACTTTATACTTTAAATAAAAGTCCAGAACAGCTTTTTAAGTGGATTATTTTATTAAATATATAATAACAAATAAATAAGATAATCAACTCAAAAAAAATTGTGTCTGTGGGCCTTTAGTTACTTTATTTGTTTAGTTATGTACGAAAATGTGCAAATATGCCATTCTTATAAGAATAAAATGCCACTAAAAATATACTTGTTTATCAGTGTTCATGCTGGATAAAAATATATTTTACTTCTACTGCAAGCAGTATTTTTAAAGTATGGTTTTGCTTGCAAGTCATTAAAAAGAAAATTAATATATTCATACAGATGTATAGTTTCAAACTTGTTTCATTTTGATAATTTTATTGTTCACGTAAACAGATTAAAAGCATGACTTTTTTTTTATGGTTTACAGACATAAAAAAATTCCCGTAACTAATACATTAATGGATGTATAAAAGGATTAAAAGGTATTTGGAGCAAACTAAGTATTTTATGCACGTATACTAGCCCTTGTCCCGCTGTTTAACATGGTATAATAAATCCTACACAAATGCAACTAACCATTCAATTGCTTAATGCTTTACTACGGCATTACCTAGTACCTACTGTGTGTGTGGGTGTGTAGTCATGCTAGTTTAGCTGGCATTCAGCCTTAACATAAATCATGTGAGCAAAAATAAAAACAAAACTTGAAATTTAAGTTTTTCCGGCATAGTACACATGCTTCTAACTAACCCGCAGAAGTGCATGTGCTTGTAACTTGCTGACGTGCATGTACTGATATGCATTTCCAGTCAGAGACAACGTACGGAAACTTGGAAAGTTCAAAAGTACGAGCAAGTAGATTATATAATATTCACTTGGGGAATGATTTATAAATTTAAGTACAGATGCTGTAAAAAAAAATGTAGTAAAATGAAAAAATCAAAACGAATAACATATTTAGGCAAAATGATAGGACACCTTCAATAAAGTACAGTAAGAACAATCTATATCAATTCTCTGAATTTACATATTCTTACACCAATATACTTACATAAAAATACATCTACAATAAACATGTGAGCCTTTACACACAATTTTCCGTTGTAAGTAAATGAACTAGTAAAAGTACTATTAGCTTCCGATTAAATTAGTTAAGTTACTTACATAAATCAGAACTAAATATCAACCCAGTAATAAGTGCAACTAATTAAATACACCTTTTTTTATTTATAAGGATTACAATGGATTGTTTGATTAGTTGGGTACCCTTGTTGTTAATACCACACTGCCAAGAACAGAAGCCATACAAAAGTTTAACAAGGATTTTTAATGCTTTCTTTTTAGTTTCATGCAAGAGAATTCAATTTTTTTTTTTAGCTTGCAAACAGATGCAGTGTATTGTATGTGTACTTTTACATTATACCATTACAGTTCCCAGCATACGATTCATACATATCTTGACTGAATCTGCTATATTAATTAACCTGATACTCACAAACAGATGTGCGATACCCGTTTGCTGAACAGTTGTTTGGATTAAGTTACTGTGCATGTGAACATATACTGAAATCTCGGTGAAGCTTAGTCACATTTCTGATCATGCAGTTCACTCTTACACGAGAGTTTTCTGACAAATCTTAAGTTATACTTATTTTATTGTTCACTTTAAAATCTACTGATAAAAGACAGAGTGTGACGATTTTTTAAAGAAAATAATATTCTGAGCTGAGTCCTGGACCTTCAGCTTGCACTAGTGCTCTATGCCTGGTATTTCCCAACCAAGCTATTAAGGCTACAAGCCCTGTAGAAAAATTACATATTCCAAACACAGCTCGTCCTTGGATTTTCAACAAACAATCGTCACATACCACCAACACAATTATACAACAACATTTGAGACCCAATTTAAATGCCAAATGTAACAAATGTTTGTAGATAAACCAAACCATGATAAAGACATAAGTTAGAACATTGAAAGTTTTATTTATCTAGGGTTGGTGGTTGTAGTTATTTTAACATTAATATTTTGCCCCTACTGGAGCTTGAACCCAGGATCTTCAGCTCACATTAACACCCTGAGACTGGTACTATTCTAACTGAGTTATCAGGGCTACAAGCCACAGAGCAGATAACGTCTTTCTTAATCATTACCAGGCAGTGAATTGACTTTCTTTTTAAGACTTTTCATAGATTCATAGCATGTTTTACACTAGGAACTGGAAAACAAGCCTTTTGAGAAAAAAGTTGAATCACATTATAGGACATGTCTTATGTGTAATTATGCTCAATAAATTTATCAATATTTCATATTAAAAGTAAAACACCAAAGCCTTTTGTACAGCGTGCTTGTGGAGTGTTATACGATAAAACAGCATTATTGTGCTTGACATGGAATAAAAATTTATAATAAATGAATAGTCTTAACATGTCACTACAATTCTCAACACAAGAGAGCACTAAACAATTGCTGTATTGGGTCTTCTGTTACAGATACCGGGTTTATATTGTTACATATATATACAGATACAGGGTTTATATTGTTACATATATATAAGATACAGGGTTTATATTGTTACATATATATAGATACAGGGTTTATATTGTTACATATATATACAGATACCGGGTTTATATTGTTACATATATATAGATACAGGGTTTATATTGTTGCACATACAGACACAGGGTTTATATTGTTACATATATATAGATACAGGGGTTTATATTGTTACATATATATATAGATACAGGGTTTATATTGTTCACATACAGACACGGGGTTTATATTGTTACATATATATATAGATACAGGGTTTATATATTTTGTAATTATCATTTATTATCAAACCTACAATACTACTTTGGTTTAACAATTATAAATAGATAAGTTTCCTCTTCATGATTTAGATACTAAACGAGATAAAATATTTGTTTCTTGGTTGTAAAAAAAAGTGAAAGAGAAAGAAAAGGAAGGTTGTTGGTTTATTTAGGAATTGAAACAAGTAATTCTATTGATGATTACCATATATCTTTTAGCTACGTGATGACAGATGGAAAATGGTCTACAAAAGTATAGACAAGTTTTTCGTCTAAGATCAGAATCATTTGGATCAATGATTTTAACAAGCACCAGTGTAACAAACAATACAAAGAGACCTGATCACAAAACTACTCAATTATGCTATTTTTTATTTGCTTAAGTGCAAAGCTGAATTATGACTAGTTTCCCTGTGTTCATAACACAATTTTACAAATAAAACTTTTATTTTGATAATAACATTAAATTTTAGCCACACACACAAACAAAAATTCTACTGACAATACTTTACTAAAGAAATAGGAATCTATACCTGTTATAACTTAATTAAAAACAGTTAGGTACACTCTTTTATTCCACAAGCTAGAAAAGTGAAATACCAGTACTACAAAGACATGCAAGTAAAATTTTGCTAAATTTACCATTATTAAAAGATAAACAAATCCATCATTATTTAAGTAAACATTAAAAATTATCAAGTATGTACTTGTATCAAATTATAAGTTGCATATCCTGGGTTCAAACCCTGATCAGAGCAGAACATTACTCACTTTAAAAAATATATATATTTTTGTTTAATCTATGCTTATGTATATTTCATAGTGCATTTGATTTAATGGACAGCATTGTCTTTTAAATAATATATCATTTTTTTTATTTAACTCAGATGCTATAATTACAAGTCTACATCAACACTGCAAAATTTTTTGCATTCTTTATGACACTAATTGTTTTCCCAAAGAACATACCATCTAATGCTTTATATTATTGAGTTGTTTCTTTCTCTTAATGAAAGAAGAAATACAACTGTTCAAATTTGATCTCCAGCAAAATACAAACTGTAAGAGAACTACTGAACTGACACACACACATTCTCACTTTTCATCTGTCCGAAAGAGTACGGACAAAGTGACCAATTCACTAGTAGGCAAGGCATATTATAGTCTTTCTTGAACATTTATTTGTTGTTAAGCACAAAGTTACACATTGGGATATCTGTTCTGTGCCCATCATTTTTTGTTTATTATACTTTAATATAGTGAATATTTTGCTATATATATATATAACTAACCTAAATTTGCTAAGCTGACCAAACCTTGTTAGACATTTTGGGGTTTATGATTAAAAAAACACCGTTAACAGCAATGGTACTCAACTGATTAAATAATGCATTTTTATAAGTAAGAATGTAAGAACAGTATGATTAGCTATACCCATTTCCAGACTGACTTTTATTTTTTGATCTACATAGGTAGCTGGCCCTGATTGGAAGTTAATATCAATAAGTCAATTATGTTTACCAACAAAATAAAATTTACAGCCATAAGGTACATAAATGAACTTTAAAACATCTCGTATGACTGAATAAAAACCAAAAATATTCCAAATAGTTGACATTTATTTATTTAATGAAGTGATCAAACGTGAACATATATGTATTTACAAGACCATGTTGTCGTAAACGCTTACCGGGTGTAACGACAGAGAATTTCGTAAATTGTTCTTCAATATCACGTAGGTTAGGATGATCTGAAGCGAGCCACATAAAACCTTAATTTCTTGAGATCTAGGTTTCCTTAATATTCGTTAGTTATTACGATTTTACTCCCCTAAACACGACTTACTTCAGTACAAAACTAAATAACTTTGTTTACAGGTTTTATATATATATATATCTGACATAATTGTGATTCTTGTGGAAGACATTACTTGCTGAATTTAACTGGAAACTTTTTGTAATTTTTTGTTTGATTCACACATAACTACAAAATTTAAAATAAAATGGTGTTTGTTCATGTCTTACAGAATCAGCAATTAAATAAGGAAATACAAAATTACATTTATATATATATATATATCCCCAGCAACCTGTCATACATGTACACGCTTGCTTCATTCCAGGTGTAAAAATGTGTATATACATTACTAAAACTAGCAGATGGCCTTGAAAGCAGTTTAAAAAAAAAACATGTTATTCGTTACACACAATGTCAGAACTCTAACCCTCCCCACATCCATTGCATCAGATTACTCAACTATTGAGAAATCAACTGGATTTGTGGCACGTGCAGGCAAACACTTGAAGTTCATATTCTTATCAGTCCCTTGTATCTTGCCCACAATTACTTTAATATGGCGGGAGATGACCCTTGCTCATGCTCCAGGAAAACATCACTGTCTGAATGGAACAATACAAGTTATCTTCAAGCACAATGACTCTGCAAAATACACCAGTATGTAAACAGGGCTGCCAACTTTTAGGAATCTGTCTGCACAAATTTTTTTTGGAAAAAGAAAAATTTTAAGTGTGCATTAAAAGTGCTGCGAGCACTAAATTGGTGAAACCATGTTGACTATGAAACAAAATTTTAAACTTTGCTAAATGACTTCAATCTGTAGAATCATTCCAAATAACCCCTGATAATGACATGATAAGGAGAGTAATTATTCAATGTAATTAATTCAATGACTTTTTAATCTATTTTGCTCACCAAAACAGGATGAACTCAGTTTTGCTAAAAATATTTAAATTATTAAGTGTTTTAGTTGGCATTGAAATATATTCATATGTGGCTGTTGTTGTAATGTGTGGGAATGCAAGGACAGGTTCATCCCCCACCTCCATCTGCCTATCCTATCTGTGTTTTTGTTTTTGAAGGGGTGGGTGAGACTTAAGACTAGTTAAGAATAACATCTTCCATTACTTCTTATAAACTTGACTGAGTGACCAACCTTGAAAAAAAATGTCAAAAGAAAATAAATTAAAATCAAAGGCTACAGCCTGTCTCTTAACATCAGAAAGCCTTTCTAAGAAAAGGTATCTGCCTCATGCCTTTAAACCACTGGGTATAGACCAATTTTCTGAATGCATAGCTTTTAACTGATGCATCTGCTGATTTAGAGTTGATGATGTTCGTAATATTGATGGTATTTATGAAGAAAAAAATTTAATATTCATTGATTTATACTTATAACTATTTGTTTATGTATTAGTAGTTTTGCAAATTCATGTAATGACTAATGAAATAAATTATAATTATCTACAAATTATTTTATCATGAAGAGAAAGCTTGAATGCAAGATAGACATACTATGCCCAAAGCCCAGAATCCTAAAGTATCCCTCTAGAACTACTAAAGAATTGGAACATTCATTGTGTGGACGTCTTAACATCTTTGCTGTCATGTGCCCCACTGGTGGGTCACAACTGACTTTTAGTTATGGAATGCATGACACACCAGTGGAACATGCATTACAAGTGACTTAAATGAGCTAACTAAACATATAAATATCAGACACCTGGGTTAAGTAAAAAAAAGAAAGGCGTGGTTAGCACTAGTGTTGGAATTATTAATACTACTGGTGGCAGTGAATGTGTTAAAACAGCTGAAGAAGGTGGATGTCATAATGCATAACTATTAGAACCAAGACTGATCGTCTCGTATCTAACATCCTGTTAGATAAATGAGTTTTCAGGCAACTTGGAAGTGGGAATGGTCCATCTAAACTTGTATCTGTCAGTGTGTATCTAACTCCACCTATCAGAACTCCAGGAGGGACCTTTGGCTTGTTAAACGTTCTTCATCACTGAAATGTAGGTATCGTGCAGTCTTTTGATATCTTCCAACAATACATCTGCTTGTCCCAGAAGAGATTCCAACATCTTATTTTATTTAATCATATCAATAAGCCAAACAGATTTAATAGTAGTTGTTAGTCTATGTTGTGGAGAGATTTCTTCCTGTTTCCTTGAATGTTATGATACATTAACCACATATCGATCACTTACTCCTTTACCAGCTCAGCCTATTTGCACGAGCTATTCAAACTAGAACTCAGAATTTATTACGTAGATCTTCACGAAATCTGGCAAGCTTTTATTAAACATTACAAGTCTGTTGTACATAAAAATTTGGAAATTTTAAACAAAGTGGTCAGTGAATTTTTTCTAAGGTTGAGTTAATTTTGGGGGCTAAATAGAGCCTTTTAAACCCTTTCTGTTAATGAACACATTTTCTGGTTGCTGTTAATGTATAAGTACCTCCTTCATCATGTTTTATACTTGTATTTCGTTAAAAATATTCTTCATTTTCGTAGACAATTGAAAGTCTGGTACAACAAGGTCAAAGTTCTCATGTCAAAAGCAGATTGCATTGAAATTCAAAAAGTTCCACAAAGCAGAGAAACAGATGAAAAAAAAGAAGAAAAGAACATGGAAATGAAAATTGCTTAAGCCAAAAGAATGAAACACAGCTAATGGCATGTTATGTAGCTTTATATGTAGTTTGTGTTTTGGTTTGAAGATATTTATCATTTAACTGAGTTTATATAAATACATTTAAAATTATAATATACCATACCACATTTGTATTTTGAATTTAAAATCAATTACAGTTGATGTTATTACTTTATATATGCTAGATAAAAGATTGACTAGAAACAACAGAAATGACCCAAGACTTACAGTTTCTTGTAAAAAACGATAACAACAAAAAACTGAAAAATATGAGCAACTTTTAGGTCTATGGGAATTGGGGTGTCAACAACAGCACCTTATTTATCATTTTACTACTAATGTGCTTCCACAGGGTCCCAAAAAGTGTTCTGTTTCAAGAGTAAATAAAACAAAAATTATGAGTAACAAATATTTTTATTTATTAAAGTTCATATGTTATGCTGTTAGCCTCCAGAGTGCATAATTATCATTGCGATTCATGGCATAAGCACGTTTTACTGACATCACAACATTATAAATTGCAACATTAACTTTCCTTTAAGTGACTTCATTTTAGTGTCTACTGACAGACAATACACTATTGTATGATGGTGTAAGTGGTTAAAACAGGTGACCCTTCCAGGCAGCCTTCCGTCCCCTTTACTTGGGGTTAATTACTAGATCGCCACAAAACTTCTTTTTTCTATTTAAGTTAAAGACTACCAACTAAATCTAAATTTCAGACCTTAATTCTTGAAATATATTGTTGTTTTCAACTACGTTCGTTGTCAAAAATAGATAATTAATCCAGAAAAACCTGCTACAATAAATAAACTCAGCTGTTGCTATTAATATTAGTCTTAGTACGTTAGTGTTACTGTTACTGTATTAGCAGAATAAGAAACTATTATTATTAAATAAACACTTACCTTTGACTGTAAATTTCGGGTGGTGTTTTACTTTTCAACTCATAAAACATAAAGTTTGAGCTGACATCGTTTTTAACACTGATACTTGCGGTTGGCTTAGGTCTTCCAAAACCATCATTGGTGTTGTTATTAATAACACTTAAAGTAGAATTACTTATATCAGCTATAGCAGTACTACAGTTGCCGTCACGAAGGAGATCAAAGTCGAGATCGATTCCAGACTCGTTCGTTGAGACTGCCATAATGAATTAAACGTTGAAATGTTCACAGTATGTTAATCATGAATGTAGCACAAAAACTTCGTGTTGTTTCTTCTTATGGTAACCAAACTGTTCGTATTATGAATACGACAGTTTTCAAACTCTCCGTTCCCTTACACACTCTAAAACTACAAGTCACAACACAAAGTACCACCTCTAAACTAGTACTTCAAAATATGACTCATGTAGATAATAAAGAGTTTATTGTATACACCACTAGATGGCGAAGACCAATATGGTTAAAAGTGATAAGCAAGAAATCTTTCATTGGTAAGGCTTGTAAAATGACTCATCGCGATATGTATTACATCACCCCTAGCAACAAATTGTTTTCGAGTTTGAACGGATCTCACTTTCTTTACGAGAAATAAATCCACAGTTAAACAACATGGTTGAACCATAAATTATTGAAAAGGACACATAACCAGATATTAAAAGTAGGATATCAAAAATAGATAAATAAATAGCATATAACAACGTTATATTTAGTTAGGGCATGACCGTCTTTCATCTAACATTAACACTAGTAGCATTTGTTAAATAGATGTTTTAGTGTCAGATTATCTATATATCTAAGAAAGATCTCTACTAAACTCTCATGTCAGTAGCGCCCGATAATATTAGCGACAAAAGCCCATTGTTGTAATCAGACTCACAAAAGAATGCATTACCTTGTACTGAGCCCTCTATTGCCTTTTAATAAAAACGTGCGAATATATGATAAATTGATAACACAACACACAACATGTAGAACAATATTATTTTTACAGATACGTTATGCTTCACCTTATGGTCATATAACGATTGTACACTGATTTGGAAATATTCTGGAACTTGATACAAATCCTCATTTTCATACAGAAAAGTAACACATTTGTTTTGGACTGAAAAAACACTGGCGAAGATTCTGACCACTACATCCTGCGGAATGGCTCTAGTAACGCCGCATATTACCGTATTGACCTAATTATAGGGCGATCTCGAATATAAGGCGACCCTCATTTTCAAGAATTATAGGAACGGAGAAAAAATTGAGTGTCATAAAGCCATTTTTTAGGTCCGCGAAACGCCTTTCTTGTAAAACGCATACTAAGGAGTTCAATCTTTCGTTTCCGCCAAAGCTTCACATTATTTTCAGTTACACCATATTTTCTGGTAGCGGTACAACTGCTCATTTTTTTTCTGCCTTATGCACCACCATAATTTTAAGATTTGCATCATATCTCCGTCGTAATCCTTTGTTAATTTAACACTTTCTCGTTCCCTGTCTTGCAATGTGGTCACTCATTCTTGCACAAGTGTCAATCATTAAAATGAGCCTCACAGACAACAGTTGTTATAAGAGTTAAAACGAGTATAGTCAAAGCAATAATGCATCAGTAAAAATTAATATTATAACTGAACAGCCTGCAGGTGGATTAATTGGAAGAATTAGCGATGATTTTGAACGAACATCTGGCGCCATAGTAGATAGATGCTATCTGGATATTCAAGAATGAGACGGGCTAGAGTAGGGGAAGGGGCCTGTGGTTTGGCGAGATTATAAAGCAACTAGAAATTTGACAGCCTAACTATTAATAAAAAAAATCGCCTTATAATCGGGCCAATACAGTATATTGATCATATCCTACAAGCCTTTATGCCATGCTGGTTCAATTGGTCTTGTAATCAGCTTAATAGTTTGTTTTGTTTTGAATTTCGCCCAAAGCTACTTGAGGGCTATCTGCGCTAGCTGTCCCTAATTTAGCAGTGATAAACTAAAGGGAAAACAGCAGGTCAACATCACCCACCACCAATTCTTGAGCAACTCTTTACAATATAAGCGATGTATAATACAATTATTTTTATCTTTATCTTAAGCAGTTTGATCTAAAAAAACTAAAAGCCAGCCAGTAGTTAAAACTTACATAAGCACAATTATTGTGAATAAATATTTTGCTGTTTGAGCTCAAAATTATTCTTTGCGGTACATTTCCGAAATCTCCGTTCCTGTGGGCACTTTCATCTTGTCTGTTGGATATCAATGGATCTGAATACCCCTTAAACATGTTAAATATATTAAATTAAAACAATTTTGAATATGCAAATCAGCAAGTTACGTGATAAACACATCTGATATAAAGTTGTGGAGGAATTACATATATCAGAACTACCTTTTGATATTGTCTAGCGTTTCGTTTCATTGATTAGTAAGCCTAATTGTCAATTTCATCTAAATAATTTCACTCATGCATATTAAGATTCGAATAATCTTATAAGAACAATTTTTAAATCTAAGCAATTTGCTTTAAAAATAGCTATATTACTGGTCATACTTTTTATCTATTACAAATTTAATTTCTTCATGTATCGTCCTTATATTGTACTTTGTAACAGTTCAGTATTGAACATGTTCCAAAGGCCAGTGTTAGCTCTTATCTCTATATGATATTTTGCTAAGTAAACGTTTTTTGAAGTATTTTCAGATGTGAAAGGGCCTTCACAAAATGATCGGTAACCTTGAACCTATCTTCCTTTGAGTGTTGGAAATTTTTAGAATATTCTCAATATTTTGTTGTTATTTTTTACCAGAGGAAATGCAGAATCCTGCTGTACATTAGAAAATGTGCATACATTTTTCTTTTTTTTTGTCTTAGAGCAAGTTCTCCATTTTCTTGGTGATTTGCACCTCTGATAAGTGACCTAAAATTAGGAAACAAATAACACAAGCCTCTAAGGTAAGACAAGGTATAGAAATTGTGGCATTTGGAATTGCTAGATTTTAACCTTTCCATAATTAGTAACTTAACATATTTTTGTTCAGGTGAAATTTTCATACAGGTGTCCTTGAAACAGGATATACTCAAAATCTCCCTTGCAGTAATCCTTATCTCGTGCAGAAAACAGTAGCAATTTATAGGGTTCACTCTACAGCTTATACTTGCCTGTTCAAATTACTTTATTAGTTCTGTTAGTACGTGAGCTTTGCACAAAACTTGTGTGATCCAGTAGTATACACCAAACCCAAAACTGAGGTGATGCATTGGTCTATAGTCTATACCATGTTAGAAACTGGAGTGGCATAGTAGGTAAGTGAATATTTTTCTTGCTTGAGGCACAAATGAATGAGAATGGATGGGATGCCAGTTAAAAACAGGAGGAGTGTGAATGAGCATTCCTTCTTTCTTATGCAGGTAACTAAGGACATCAAACTAAAGTAATGTTTTACGTGGGTAACTAAGGATTGCGAGA